GAGCTCCGAAAAGGAGGCCCGAGGTGATGCATGCAACTGATGTGAGTCAGTGGACAAACGACCCTCCGCTGAAAATAAGACCCGGTGCCTTTTTTGGTTGCAAAAATAATAAGACAGGGTCTTATTTTGGGGCAAATATGGTGTGTGTGTAAAAATGATTGTAACCGTATCTTCTAATTCAAAGGGTTGATTCTTTGTTGACAGAATACTTATGGGCCCTATTCCCCTGAAGAGTGCATATCTTTGCCTGTTTACACTAGTGCTGAAAGGGATTGCGTGGTAACAAACATTGATGTCCCATGTGGAGGGAATCAAGATCAATGGATCCAATGTGGTGCCGCTTTATTTCTGAAAAATCAGTAAGAAGAAGCTGCTGCTAGCCATCAGGTTTGATTACTGTTGTCTTAAAAAAAAAGAGTTTATGTTTTCTGTGATAATTTAAAACTAAAATGTGGGAAGTCTTAGATTTTATACCGAACAGTGCTTTATAAATAGTACACTGTGGATTTACAGCAGAACTAAAAGGTTAATTAACATTTATTTTCAATAGACAAGCTGAGAAAACTAATTGAAAACTTACATAGTTACCTGGGGTGGTTTTCCCCCCTCCCCCCACTAGAGCTTGAATAGTTCAGTGAATTATTCCCACCATGTGCAACCCATTAAATTTTGGTACTGTACAATCTCCATTTATTTTGTGTGTACACTCACTAGTAAAATTATTCCTTCCAACAACCTGGCAAATTTATTATCTGCCCTTTATGTATGTAATGTAAACATCCAAACTTCTGTATAAAATCTGAAGGTTGTAGTACTCTGTATTTCTAGGTCCATGTCTCTATAATTTTTTTCTCTCAGCTTTTACTATGAGTATTGTTTCATTTTATTGAGTTTTTTTATGATCTTCATTTTTTTTCTCAATTTTCAGATTTTCATTCTACTTCGGATTGTACTTTTAAAGGACATAATTTTTGGAATTGAAAAGAGAAGTCCCGGCTATTAAATAAAAGCAAATTATACTGAAGTATATTTATGAAACATGTATAATTTTCATTGCTCTCATTAAATAATTTCTAGTTTTTTTCAAAGTCATTTTGCCTGTGTGTTACTTGTAAATAAGCTGAATCAGTTTTCTGTATATTAAAATTGTTTTGGTCTCCTGTATAAGAGCACTGCTTTAGGCATGAAAGCTGGATGTTTGACCTTGGGTCACTTTGGTCACTCACTATCGTTCAGCTCAATCCACCTCACAAGGTTGTTGTTGGGAAAAGAGGGGAGGAAGGAGGAGGAAGTATATTGGCTGCCTTGAGTTATATATAAAAATAATAAAGGTGGGATGAAAATCTAATAAATAGAGGGAGAGAGAGATTAAAGGGTAGAGCTGACTTATACCGAATTCCAATAAAAGTTTAAATATTTAGGTAATTATTTAAATTTATATAATTTAGCTAAAATTAATGATAACTATATATATATGGATATATATAAACATCTTTATTTTATATTTGTTTTATCCCACTTTTATTGCTTGTATAAATAACTCAAGGGAACAAACATACATAATACCCTCCTCCTCCTGTTTTCCCAACAACCCTGTGAGATGAGTTGAGAGTGGCTCAAAGTCACTCAATCACCTTTAATTTCTTTAAATTCATTTCATAGTTACCTCCACCGTAATTAAATTGTTTGCACTTAAAGCCCAAGCACACCTGCTATATGAAACTCAATTGAGACCATAAAAACAGTATGATTGTTTTAGAAAGAATTCAAACAAAATCTTTAAGAAACATTTTTGTTGTGCCCCCCCCCCAGAAAGAGCTGGTGGCAGTCTCAGACATTGAGGAGGTTGGGGAGGAACATGGGCCAGTGCTGGAGTCTGGGGAAGGCTCTGATGAGTACTGTGTGTCGGAGGCAGAGTGGAGGCCAGGGCTGTCCAACAGTTATCAGCTGCCTTCGGAATCAGACATCAATGGGGCAGAAGAATAGTTGGAGCCTCTTCCCAAAATGCACATACTCAGAGCTGCCAGGAGAAGGGAACAGCTAAGGAACAAGGGTCAACTCGGGAGTAAAGCCACAGGTGGATGGCGAATGGCCCCTCCCATAGGGAATAAAAGAGCGAAAGGGGAGGGGAGTTTGCTGGAGACAATTAGTTCAATTCCTTAGAGTGAAGATCTATTCCTGACTTCTTACCAAGTATTGTCTGCTACAGAGTGGCATTTGGAAAATATCAACCTGGCAGCTCTCCAAGCCTGATAAAGGTCTGTAATTGTGAAATCTCTTGAAAGACTGTTTGCCGGGACTTTACTGGAGAGGAATTCACTTTAAACCAAATAAAAGGGGTTTTATTGGGACGAGGAGTCGGCTTTGTGCTTTTGGGAAGCCTAGGTCAGAACAATTTTTCCATTTTATCTGTTTTGTTCCCAATACTGTATTTCAGTAGGAAGCAAGAGTTAGTAAACTTGACCCTAGTCTCTGGATAAACAACCTTACTTATTGATTAAAATTATTGTACAGCCCTAATGGATTGACCTACCTAATATTGGGAAATAATTTCAAATTTTCTTGGAAAATACTGGTAGTTACTTTAAAAAAAACTGAGCCCCTTTGATCTTTCAGTCATTCTATCTTAACCTTAGATTCAGCTTAACCTTGATTAATATTAATGTAAAGTATCTTAAATGTAGAAGGCCAAAGAGAAGCTGCTGCTTTTTCTTGTAATATAACCTAATAACTACATCTTATCATTTATAGCAGCTTCACATTCATATTGTACTATAGTCCCCTAATTCAGAAGAGACTCAACTCTGTCTGGCTTTAATGCCCTCCCCACACCTGTTTTGGAAGAGAAATCTCTTTTTCTTGAAGAGGAAGACCACATTTCTGTAGGCTTCCACCATTTCCTCAGTTTTCCAGGAGGTCCCAACAGTTCTTCAAGCAGGTCTTTCAGAACTGTACAGCAGGGGTGTTAAACTAGCAGGCCGGGTACATCACGCCAGGCCAACCTCCACCAGTGCCCGTGAAGGGAAAAACATTGTGAAACATCACATGATGGTAACATGATGCCACACGTTTGACACCTGTGTTGTAGAGTACAGTCCAGCCTGGTTTTGGAATTGAAGGCATTCAAATTTGGTAGAAGATTCTTTATCATATCTTTACTGATCTGTGCCCTTCCTGTTAAGTGTCAGGCCTGCAGCCATAGTCCTTGCTGGATCTTTGGCCTGCTACACTCTCTATTATTTTACTATGCTGTTTCATTAGTGGGGTAATTGGGAGGGGGAATAGTAACGAGTAGAGTGTGTTGTTGTCAAAATAAAACATTCCTTTCTAGAAGCCCAAGGTCATTCTTTGTCTCTGCACCTCTGCACCTGACCGGAAGTGGATGGGTGGAGATGCCAGGGTGGCAGTGGAAGATTGGACCATGCGATGGACTTGTGGGGAAATGATCATGAACTTTCAACTGGGTGGAAACCCCAGGAAGTTTTTAGATTTGGGTTTCCACAGATGTACCAACATATCTCTTTTAATAAATTGAAACTTTGAGAAAAGAGAAACTTTTGCATCTCATTTGGAAACCAAGGACCCAGAGTANTCCGAAGGCAAAAAATGCTGTATTCAGTGTATAAGATGCACCCAGATTTTCAGCCTCCTTTTTGAGGGAAAAAGGTGTGTCTTATACTCCGAAAAATACTGTACATTGCTTTAAAATTCAGGTTTTGTAACCAATATCACTATTTACATATAGTATATTAAGTTAACAAGAGGAATTTATTGTAACCATTTTAGTCTTTTAAAAAATATATATACGTGCATTATATATATTTATAAAATTTTTATGGGGCTTTGTGTTTTTCATAGCATATTTCAAATTAAAAAACAGCATAAATTATTGTTTCTTCATCATCATTCTAGCCATTGTCTATCCACTGCACAATAAAAGCCTCTTCTGCATGTTTCCAACCAATATTGTTTATCAAACAATAAACTATTATTTATTTTTTGATAAGATTATTCATGATCCTTAATTTCATACATAAAAATTTAGGGAATTATTTGCTTTATGTCAAATGGCATTATGTGTATTATGTAGCAGAATGATCCATTATTTATGAAGTTGAATACCGTGTTTTCATGAAAATAAGATAGGGTCTTATTTTCTTTTGACCCCCGAAATAAGCACTTGGCCTTATTTTCAGGGAGTTTTTATTATTTTTGAGGTGCAGGAGGTGGCGTGGTTACATCATGGCTGCTGCTGTCTTGCAATATTTTCAGGGAAGGCTTATCTTAGCACATGCACTCTAAAAGCCCGATTGGACTTATTATCCGGGGAGGTCTTATTTTCAAGGAAACAGGGTATATGATACAATTATGTTCAGTAAAACCTACTCAGAGACAAACACTATACTGCAGTGTCCATTTAAGAACGGATGAATATGTATTTTATGATGAACTAAGAAATTATGTGTTTGCCCAATGCAGACACATCGGTAGTTTTAAATTTGTAACTTACCATTCTGATTAATTGGCTTGGGTTCCCTATGTTAAATCTATTTGTTTTCTTTCTACAAAGCTGTGTGTGTTGGCATGCATGCTGGCTGGTTTTTGACTGGCATTTATCCGGTTTGTAGATGTCATTCCATCATAAAATTAGGCGGGAGGCATTTATGTATAATACATTTCCTTCCTGGTATTTCCCAGATTGGGATTTATGAATAAAACAAGGTGTCCATTCCCTTCACATGATTGCCAGTGTATAAGAAATTATTTTTGAACCATATTAATAATAAAGCCTAGCAACACTGTGCATCATATTCCTCGATATCATTTTTGTCACATTCAGTTTTGAACTATGTTGTCACTTGCCTCTAATGTCACAGTCCTATATCTTATTCCATGTTAATGCTCAATGAATTCCTCAGAAAATGCTGGATAGGCACTTGAATGTGTTAAGTTAGCTAGATTTTCCCCCCTCTTAGCATACACTGCTGTTATCTTTCTAGAATTGGGTGAGTAAAGCAGAAAAGCAGACCTTACTTTTGGATACTCTGGACCTCTCAGAACTCTTCCATCCAGATACTTTTCTGAATGCCTTAAGGCAAGAGACTGCAAGGTAGGTGAATTGATTGCTGTTGCATGTCATGTATGTGTCTCTCAGTACTACTGCTTCATTCGTTCTCTCATTTTCTCACCTTCATTGTCTATAGAAGACTACGCTATAGGATTGTCTTCAGTAGGAAGTCCAGTTGGTCCTCTCTCATGTCTTCTGTCTTTATGTAAAGAACATTTTTGGTAGCAAAGCTTTTCATCTACTTCCATCAAATGTGTTTTGCCACTAATACTGTTTGGTTTTCTTATCCCCTCTAATTTGTTCTATTGATGTTTTATTTCATTTCATGATTTTTTTAAAAAATGGAGTCCTTTCTAGTGAAAAAAAGCATAGACATTTCCTAATATAAATCAGATGTATTTAACTTGTTAACCTGATGGCAAATACGATGCTTTAGGAAACAGATTTTGCAAGTCTGCAGCTAAATTTTCATTTCTAATAACATGATAGTTTTTCTAGAAGTAAATTTAGTGCCACGAAGTATTGTGTACAAGAAAAATGAAATATTAGAAATGCTAAAAAATTCTAATTTCTAGTATTAGCGCATTTAAAAAAAAACAAAACAAAAACCTGAGAATAGCATTCAAAGAGACATTAACGGAATGAAAAATATAGGAATAGAGAATAGCTTGACTCCCGCTTCTTTGTGGCTCTGAGATATTGGAACACTGCTATCATGTCACCCCTAGTCCTTCTTTTCATTAAACTAAATGATTTGTTCATATTCTTAAACAGTCACATTCTTACTTAGCATAAAATACTATTATTAAAGACAATACAGCATCTTATTTTCATTAATCCAAATGTTGTATTGTTTTATTGAATGCTGCACTTTTTTTAGCAGTGGGAGTGGGGTGGATTGTTTTAGGAATCTGGTTCACTTAATCAGCAGCTGTGTGTTATCTTTTAATGTATGGGAGATAACGTATGGTTTATTTCATTTCAAATAAACTATTTATATTTTCATTTTATTATTCTTTTGCAGAGTAATGACCTGTTCTGTGGATAGCCTAAAATTTACAGCATCCTGGAAAGGTCAAATAAGAGAAGCGAAGCTCCAAGTTCAGGTAATCAACCTGTTAAAATTATACTTGCTGAGCCTTCTATGAGCTTATAGATCTATAAATAATTTAAATATAGTCAAATATTTATTATTTTGTTTCATTAAATGCATAACTCACTCCATTCCAGCCTCAAAGAGAACCTAAAAGAATATTAATTATTTGTTAATCTGTTATCTGTTAATATAATTGTGTTACTTATCCTATCCTTTGCTATTCTATCCACCCTGCTTCTTCTTTTTATCAATGAGCTCTGTTCAGTTCTCTGTAAAATATCACAAACATTTTGGTTTTTCCCAAGTCATGCTATGCGTTTTAGAAAAAGTCTGACCAAGAAAATAATTGGAATGTGGGGAATTTTCTAAAAAATGAGCAATTCCCAATAGCAACTTTTTAAGCTTAGCTAGCACAGATAAAATTATTTAAAAGGTGTTTAAAGAGAAAAAAAAATTCTCTTTATCTCTGGCTGGTAATAGAAATTGATGACGTTTGTACTTTATTATATAGCTATCTAAAAGGTGGCTCAGTGGCTAAGATGTTGAGCTTGTCGATCAGAAAGGATGGCAGCTTGGCGGTTCAAATCCCTAGCCATGTAATGGAGTGAGCTCCCATTACTTGTCCCATCTTCTGCCAACCTAGAAGTTCAAAAGCACATAAAAATGCAAGTAGAAAAATAGGAACCACCTTTGGTGGGAAGGTAATAGCATTCCGTGCGCCTTCGGCATTTAGTCATGCCTGCCACGGAGATGTCTTCGGACAGCGCTGACTCCTTGGCTTTGAAACGGAGATGAGCACTGCCACCTAGAGTTGGGAATGACTAACACATATGTGCGAGGGGAACCTTTACCTTATACAGCTATCTAATTTGTCCTGCTGAACACAGTGAACAAATAGACCAAAATAGATTTAGCCTACATTTTGCAAATCAGTTCTTCAATTAAAGTTCTTCTTTTACTTTATTGAATATTAAATCTGAAGTACCAAAAGAATCTTGTAAAAGATTTGCAAAAATATAGAAATTAATGTTTCAGTCGTTTAGATTTCAAATACAACATTACTGTTTGACCTTTAAAGGTTCGCTGTCGTTTCTAGAAGAAAATTTGAAATGCATGTGCATATTAAAGTAGGCACACCGACTGAACCAAGTTTACAACTTGGCCCGGAGATATTATCAGCCTTGAAATGGTTGATTAATTCAATCAATAGCCTCAAGACCTGATTACGAGAATAATTTTTTCCAGAAATGACAATGATAAATTTTTGATTCAGAATCAATTTTTATATAATTAAATCTTATTTAATGACATTTATAATTGCTTATAAAGAAACCGTTACCTGATAATGCATGTGAAAATGCATTTTTTGTTTTATTAACATAAACTCATGCCTCTTGTGATATCTTAAACCATTGGGAATTGATGAGGAAATGCTTTGAATAATATTTTAAAAGTGTTATGAATTCAGGGTTTAGGGACCCTGTAAGAAGAAGTAAAGTCTGAATATGTTTAATTATGGATATAAATATACATAATGTTTAAAACTTGGATCTGTGCATCCTAAAGAAAGGCACAGCTTACAATTGGAACATATGAGGACTTAGAGATTTTTCTGTAATATATCAAACATTTGTCTGAAATAATATGAAATCATATACATTATTTAAATTATTTAATAAGAGCAGCATTCCTGCTTCTAATATAGCAATAGTTTATTTTTTCTATGGTGATATTCAGTAACCTAGTATTGTCTAAACTATGGGAGTAAATTTCTAAATAGTAATGTCAACTCACGAAGCTTTCCTGACCCGCTCCCGAGTTGCCATAGGCAGGGTGATGGGAAATCGTGCCTCACAGCTGCACTGAGGAATTCACACCTCAGTCAAAACAAAACACAGTCAGAGCTGGCTTCACTTGTTTCGTGCCGATATTGCGATCCTAATAAGCAACTGGATTTTTCTTGAAAATTGGCCTGAGACTCCTGCTTTTATTAGGGCATTGGTCAGAACCCTGACAAATAATACTATCACAAAAAAATTTCTTCCTTGTTTTGATGTCCACCTGCCTGTGCATATAATTAGTCTAGAACAGGAGTACCAAACTCATGTCATCATTACGTGACATATTGTAATTTTTTTCCCTTCACTAAACCGGGCGTGAGCAGCGTATGATGCATCTGGCCCACAGGCTGTGAATTTGGCAGCCCTGGTCTAGAATATGCACGCTTCATGTTTACAACGAATTAGATAGCAGCAGGGGTCTGTATCTGTATTCACTTCTATTATTCCATGCTTATATCTCAGGAGACATTTGGACAGGACTATCTGCCCATCACTTCTGACAGCACAAGGCAGAAGACAACTATCATACCAAGGCTTGTGTTAAAACTAAAATACCAAGGAATCTGCCCCTAAGATTGTGAGAGAAAATGGAAATGCTGATGTTCAAAATATATTTGAGATTAATACAGATGCTGTAGTTAAAGTTATCATTGAATCCTGCAGATCCATTTTTTTCACTAAAATTAAAAATAAAGCAAATTGCTATTAAGTTTAGTTCCTAAAATCAAAGTTACAAAACATGTTTCTCATTGCACAATGGTCCCCAAGAGAAGAAATAAAGTGGACAGTATTTCTTTCAAGGCTTTGTTTCTTCATGGAGTTAAAACCCCTTTATTTGGCCTATTGCTTAAAGAGAGAGTGAGAAAGAGAGAGACGAAAAAACTTTATTGACCTATAAAAACTATTCTTTGAAAGCTGTCAGACTTCTAAAAAGATGCCATATCTTCTCTGGGACTTATTTCTTCTCTTTCTCCGGTGCACTGCTTGGAGTGTCCAAGCAAGGGTTAAATTCTGTCTCACTGCCCAAGGACTGGATTGAAAATCTTTGGCCACATTCTCTGGTACTTCCATCCTCAGTTTTTCAATTCAGTCCAAAGCCCATCAGATATATTTAACAGCCTTAGCTGACAGAATTCAAATACTACTTGGTCTCCCTCAGCCGGCGGGATCATACAACACCCAGAGCCCCAATGGCTCAATCTGACCGCCTAGCACTTGAGAGGGATCTCCTAGCTCAAGCCAACTTCTCGAGGCAGGTCATTCATATCATCCAGGCAGCCCGGTGTTCTTCCACCACCATCAGCAGTGGTTAAATGCAGCACTGCAGGCTACTTCAGCTGACTGCAGTTCTGCAGTTCGGCTGTTCAAATCTCACCAGCTCAGGGTTGACTCAGCCTTCCATCCTTCCGAGGTGGGTAAAATGAGGACCCAGATTGTTGTTGGGGGCAATATGCTGACTCTGTAAACCGCTTAGAGAGGGCTGAAAGCTCTATGAAGCGGTATATAAGTCTAACTGCTATTGCTATTGTATGCATTCACTGTTCTTTTTA